ATAAAACTAATTCTATCATTAAAATTGATATATTTATTTACTTTTTTAAAATCACGCATAACTCAAATAAAATATTTATTATAAAATAAAAAAATAAAAAAACAATTTCAATAGTCTTCCACTTGATTCAATTGACAAACTTAATATTTTAATCTTATAAATACAAAGTCATCATCATCCATAGATCCAAAATGATGATCATGGCTAGGGGTGTGCAAAAAAACCGGTTCACAAGAAACAAATTTAAAAATATGGTGCACCGATTTTAAAAATCCATATTATTTGGTTTAAAAACTAGTCCAAATTCATATTACTAAAACCATTAAAAACCGGTGTCCACTTTTTAAAACCATGGTTAATCTATTTTTCAAACTCTTTGTCTTTTTTTTGTTTCATTGTCATAAATGACAATTAAGGTAATGTATATGTAAATAAATAAAACTTATATATATATATATATATATATATATATATATATATATATATATATATATATATATATATATATATATATATATATATATATATATATATATATATATATATATATATATATATATATATATATATATATATATATATATATATATATATATATATATATATATATATATATATATATATATATATATATATATATAGGGGTGTACAAAATAACCAATAACCATAAACCAAATTCCTATCCAAATTAATTCAAATTTTAAAATCCACTCCAAATTTATATTTTAAATTTGGTGGCCCATTTATCAAATTAAAAAAAAAACGGTAACCATTTGTTTCAAGCTGAATTGAGATTCGGTAACTATTTTTCAATAAACTTAAAAAACAAAATTAGAATAATTTGGGAAAATCAAGATCAACACCCCTAGTTTGCAATAAAATTGATTTGGTTTAAAGTAGAATAAATTTAAGGTAGATAGTTTGCAATAAGTTTAAATAGAATAAGTTTCACGATTAATTGATTCATATCAATTCAACGTAGTTCTCGATTAATTGATTTAATTTACGATGAAAAAGAATTAGTCTAATTCCAGTTTTACATTGAGTAGTTTAAAGTTTAAGATATATGGAGTGTTGATTTAATTCAATGTAAAACTGGAATAAAATTGATTAATTGATTTATATCAATTATTAGATAGTTTACAATAAGTTTGAAGTAGAATAAGTTTCAGGTGGTTTATCAATTATTTGATACTTTGCAATAAAATTGATTTTTTTAAAAAAATTAGTTTTAAAACTGATTTCTTTAAAGAAAATAAAAAACTAATTTTTAAAAAAACTATTTTTTTTAAAAACTGATTTGAAACCGAACCAATTAACTTGTAAATCAGTTTTAAAAAAATAAATCAGTTTTATATAAATGATTTTAAGATTCAAACCAAACTATATATATATATATATATATATATATATATATATATATATATATATATATATATATATATATATATATATATATATATATATATATATATTAGTTTGATTTATAATTTATGCACACCCCCTTGACCTTCATAATTTATCCTTCAACTTAGTGCATCACAAATTATTCCTTTCAAATAACTTTAAGTAATATTATAAAGTATGTATTTTTTTATGTCTTTCCAATAACACCTTTTTGTCATCCCATGATAACAATAGTGTATCCTATATAATGTGAATAACAAAATTAAACAAAACAAAAAAAATCATGTGCATTTGTTAACAATATTTTAATGTATAATAAAAATCATTTGAAATATACAAAGTGAGCTTTTAAAACAAAATCTAAATTGATAAAAAAAATTAAATAATTTTGAGGAAGTAAAACTTAAAAGTTTATATATTTTAAAAAGTAAAAAAATATATTTAATCCTTTTATTTATTAAATAATTTTTTATTTTAAAATTTATTTAATAATATGTGAGATCAATAATCCTTCCACTCCTTTTTCATATTATTCCAAACAAAGGAATGACTTGCCACTTTCTCTCCTTCCACTTTCATCCAAAACAAACAAGCCCTCCTGCGCGTTAACCTTCTTCCTCGAGAACTTCTTCTTCCTCCACACCATCTTTCACCTTTATTCTCCATCATTCGCTCCCAAATTTATCGATTGAACCTTATTCATCAACCCTAGTAAATTTTTTCCCGGTACTCGTTGAACTCCTCCAGTGTTCCGGAGCTCATCGAACCCTAATACCTCTGTTAACCGTCGTTCACCGACATCGGTCAATGTCACTGTGGCTCACGGTTATATAAAGTAAGTTCATATCCATTTCCGATTCCTTCTCTTTTAATTCCAATATCTCATTTTCTTTTCCATTTCAGGATTTTAGTAAATTCATTTCAATGTTCTGAAATTCATCCTTGCTGGCGAAGTTCGGAGATAGAGGATTCTTACCAATCAGTTAGTTCTCAGTTTCGTTTAAGGTGTTTTTGCCATTCTAGTACTCTCATATTGTGATTTTGTTGTGATTGCCAAGTTCTGATTTTTTGTTTTGTTTAATTGATTTTGTTTTGTACTAAGTTTGCAGTTCTAACTAATTCTTAGGTTTGAATTTAGATTTGCTTAATGTTGAGTTTGCGATTTCCGGTTGAATTTAGATTTGCTTCATGTTGAGTTTGCGATTTCCGGTTGAATTTAGATTTGCTTCATGTTGAGTTTGCGATTTCCGGTTTCATTTGTCGTGAGGTTTTAAGAGATGGGTCAATGTGATAGTGTGTCAATGTCTCGACTTAATGCATTATAAGATATCATATATAGCTAGTAAATGGTCTCAAAAGATGATGAGTTTGAATGATTTGATTACATGATAGAAAGAAAAGTCTAATGTTTTCGGGGTGTTTTACAATGCTTAGGTTTGAATTTAGATTTACTTCATTTTGAGTTTGCAATTTCCGGTTTCATCTGTTCTGAGATTATAAGAGAAGGGTCAACGTGATAGTGTGGTGATTGATGTCTTGATTGATGTCTTGACATCATGTATTATCAAATATCATATATAGCTGGTAAAGGGTCTCGAAAGATGATGAGTTTGAATGATTTGATTACATGATAGAGAGACAAGTCTAATGTTTTCAGGGTGTTTTACAATGCTTAGGTTTGAATTTTGATTTACTTCATGTTGAGTTTGTGATTTCCAGTTTCATTTGTTGTGAGATTATAAGAGAAGGTCAATGTGATAGTGTGTTGATGTCTTGACTTCGTGTATTATCAGATATCATATGTAGCTAGTAAAGGGTCTCAAAAGATGATGAGTTTGAATGATTTGATTACATGTTAGAGAGACAAGTATAATGTTTTCGGGGGTGTTTGATTTGTCCTAGTAGATGCACAAGGTCGACCAGCCTTTTTAGATTTTGTATTTCTAATAAAAACTAGCATCACCATTACTAATCATCATAAAGGTTTGCATTTGCTAAAAAAAAAAAAAGCTAAGACAAGACAACCCATTAAATACTAAGGGTGAACATTAAAAAGCTAGCAGGACTTGCCTATAATGAGCTAATACATACTCTTAAGTTCATTCAAGTGATCCTTAAGAACCTCAATTTCATTTTGTTGGTCATTCTCATCAAGCAAATTTGCTGCTATTGCAATTGCAGCATTGATCTTCTTGGCTTAAGTTAACACCATTCTGTTTTACTAATTTCTCATATTATAAACATAGTGTTCTGGTGCATTCATTACTTAAACCTTAAGAATTTCTTATCATCGATAGAGAAACCAGAACTGCAAATTTAGTAGCGCTCCCCGCCACGCTTCTATTCTGGCTGAGAGCATATTTGAAAATCACACACTCTACGGTGCCAGAAGTTTCTTGATTCCAGCTTTCTGTTCAGATGTCAACCATGCTGGAAACTTAACATTAAATTTGATCCTAAAATAACCTTTCTCTAAAGGATTTTTTGGATTTGGAGTAATGTGCTGTCCGGTGTGTTTCATGAATTTGGATTTGATGCCTTTGCAATTTCATTTTCTGTTCAGTTTTTATTAAATAAAGTATAATATTCTTTAAAGAAGTACTACATTTGCAATCCAGGGTAGCTGACCAGAAGTACTGGAGTTATTTTTGCTAAGAATGAGTCTTTAGCTTCCTTGATACTGATTTCTAAGCATCTCATTCTTTTAACTGACCAGAACAAACATCGTCTGCTTGTAGTCTTCAGTTCCTCTTCATCACATATATTGAAATCAAATACTTTTTAGTGTTTACCAGCCAATATGTTTGATCCATTACAAACCTATTCATGTGTGAAAAGGTGTCCCTACACTGTCGGTTCCACTAATTAATTGTTATAGCAAACACCTTTGGACCTTGGCCTCTTGACATGAATGACAACCAGTGCGGAACTTAAAACAAGAGGATAGAATACTGTTTTAAGCTAACTTTAAATTAAACTAGAGACACGGCCTAAGTTTTTATTTTAGTGATATACTACTAGTACAAATATTATTTTGTTTATCTTCCTTGAGCTTGTAAGCAAAGGACCATTGACAAATCTTTGTCTAAAATATTGTTTAAGGCATTCTCAAGTCTGTGCATACAGAAGGATGATTTTAAGGTATTCATCTTTGTAACATTCTAATTTACACAGATGACTGGTTTTGCGAAATTAAAACTAGTTATGTGGATTTGATTCAAAATCCAGTTATATAATAAATGGTTTTTAAATGGATATATCCTATCCATGAGAAACCCTACTCAAGGGTAATGGATTAATCATTTTATTAGGTTTGTAAAGAATGTCCATATAGATAATAGAGTCAGTAGCTTCGTTTTGTTTTCTGAGTGCAAATTTCTTTTCTTCTAAACAGAGTTTTATTTATTTACTTCGGTTTTTCCAAGCCAAAAGAAATTCCGAGCAGTTGCTTTTATTGTTTTTGTTTAGTTGCTTCACAGTTCACTCACCACTTGCCCTCTGGGAGACTTCCAAACTTTATAATTCACCTCATTTCCTATCTTTTTCCCATCACTCTTCTCTTTTATGATTTTTCAGCTGGATTCTGGACTTATATGTTTTCTGCAGCTTCAGTCAGAGGAGCAAGACACAGGTTTTCCTACGCATCCAATAGGTATACTTTTCTCAGTTAAAAAACATTTCTTTTATTGGATTCATATTTCTTTCTTCCTCTACTAGCGTTTGTTCTTTTTTTCAGTAATGATTGCCATATTGGTTTATCTTTTTGTTGCCTTCCTTCTTACTTCTCAAGTGGGTAGAGTAAGGGTGAAAAACATCTTTTGCTTCTTATGTTTTCTTGAATTTATTTAGGCTCTATGTTTAGGGCGACTACATTTTTTTGATGAAAAGGCTACTACTGTTATAGATTCATTTCTTTTCAACTTAATTCTACAAAATGCATTCCAAAAGATGAAGGTGGTTATATAGTTTAGATCACATTTTCTCAGAAAAAAATAATAGCTGTGCTGACTCCTGAATGCAATTTATATTTTTGCAATGCAGACATAGCTTATTCGGGCTATGCTTAGTTGAAAATGTTCCGACTATTGCATCATCCCCTACCAGATATTTTCGATCTCTTACTCCTTACTCCATACATCCAAGAACTTACAGCATACCAAGACATCTTTCAAAATTACCCCCTCTATGTTCTCCATCAGCTTTTGTTTCACAGCTGAGATCAAATGTCACTGGAAGCCAAGGTAATCAGGCAAACTGGCTACCTTCCAGATACATAAGTAATTCATCAGTTGAACTGAAGACCCAAAATGATGTTGTACGGTTCTCTCTGTATAAGCCCGGCGATATTAGTTCTGGAATGAAGAGCCCAAATAAAAAAACAATGAAAAAATCTAAAAGGGCCAAAGTGAATGAGCTTAAATACTATCGTTTGAAGGCAAAACAAAAGATGCATTCTCCTAACCCAGAAGTTAGAATTCGCTATAAGCTTGAAAAGGTTGGATTTTATTGTAATTGTAATTTTTATATTTAAAGCTTTATTTTATATAGCTAGCTACTGCTTGTACTTTGCCTCAGCTGCTTGGTTTTATTACTGATGTTGTACTTTAATGACAATTTTACGTTTTTCAGATGCATGCTTTTGCAATTTTATCATCATGTATGTTCTTTGATAACCTTGCTTAGAAATATAATAGTTTAACAGTATATCAGTTGGTTATCAGATATCTTTCTGTTTTAACTTAGTTATGGTATATTCACATGCAGACATTATTTAGTAACTCAGATGGGTTGAAAGAAGCATTATGCCTTTAATCCTTGAATTTTCCTTTCAAAGTTTGGGCACTTTTTTATTTTATTTTAACTCATAAATCTACAGGCCAAGAGAAAGGAAACATGGTTGATTGAAAAGCTTAGGAAATTTGATGTTCCGAAGCTCCCAACAGAAACATTTGATCCTGAAATTTTAACCGAGGAGGAGAGGCATTACCTGAAGCGCACTGGAGAGAAAAAGAAACATTATGTTCCAGTTGGGAGACGAGGAGTGTTTGGTGGGGTAGTTCTAAACATGCATCTTCACTGGAAGAATCATGAGACGGTGAAGGTTATATGCAAGCCCTGCAAACCCGGTCAAGCTCAGGAATATGCTGAAGAGCTGGCTCGACTGAGCAAAGGCATTGTGATTGACATCAAACCTAATAATATCATCATTTTTTACCGAGGAAAGAACTATGTACAACCCAAAGTAATGTCACCTCCAGATACATTATCAAAAGCGAAGGTAATTTTGACTTTGCATTAGCTCTTCATTAGCAAAAGGTATTTGACGACGATAGTATAATACAGTATTTTTTTTTAATGAAATTATATGGTTTAGGTAAGGAAGGAGAGAATGATTATCATTGTGTAGTAGATGAGAGATATTGATCAAAAAGTTATTTTTTAAATTCTAAACAAACACAAATTAGTTTCTAATTTATACAAAAATCTCTTAAAAATAATCATTTTTCACATGATGTCTAGATCCTAAAATTTTAGAAATAATCTGCTTGAGGTTGGCAGTTATCAAGCACAAGTGCCTGTCAGTTTCATATATATTATTGGAATATCGAAAGGTTGAGATTATACCATGATTTAACCCATTCAGTTAAAAACTTTTAAGTTATTACAGTGATCATAGTTTCTTGTTGAGCTTAAACTACATTGAAGGGAATGGTTTATATCAAACATTCTATTCTAGTATTAATTTTCAGTAATTTATATTGTTCAATAATTTTTTTAACTTCATAGTTCTTAGATTTTTTAAACATTCACCATTTGATGAATGTGGTTAACTACAAAAGTTAAGACTGCTATAGATTTATGCCTCTACCTATTGCAACCAATCGCAGTGTCAGGGAGTACTACGCTCTCACAGGTCTTAAGTAAACTAGTGAATAGAAGGTATGGTTTTTGTTTCTTTTGAGGGACTAATCCTCAAAAAGGTAAACATGTATTAGTAAATCCTGGGTCTATTTTCCAAGAAATAAAAGAACTGGTGCTTTCATAGAGTGGATTAGTTAATAACTTTGAAGTGCTAATTCATAAATTTAGCTTGAATAGGTTAGGTTGAGAAAGCATTTTGTTCTCTTCTAGCAAAGAGCTTATGTTTTCTAACTTTTGAAATCTCCAGGCCTTGGAGAAATATCGATATGAGCAGTCCCTTGAGCATACTAGTCAGTTCATTGAAAAGTTGGAGAAAGAGCTTGAAGAGTATCATGAGCACGTTGCAAAGTTTAAAAAAGGGAAAGAGGATACAACTTAAGATGTTAGAGTGTACTAACTGAATTTCATGGATGTCTCACTGAAAAACCCGGGCTCTCTCGAGGTTGTAGTTACTAGTTAATTTGTCATGGATTAAGGAAGCTTGACTATTTTTCTGCTACTGTGACAATCAGTTACATAATTTGGTAGAATGTCATGCATCATGCAGATTCTATCCCAAAGTCTCATTCATTAGTTTGGGATGACAACCATTGAAGAAAGATCACCCAATCCCATTCCCCCGTTGTGCTGAAACAAAGTCCATTACGACTTCGTAGCAGATTTTGTGCGTTCTTTCTTGTAGAACCTGTTTTGAAAGTATTACATTTCGGATGTGTGAACTGAACAATGTTACTATCAATATTATCATTGCCAGTATGGCCATTCACTCTCATGACAAGGCTATATATCCAATACATATGTTAAGATGTTTGTCTTTTAGCAGTTACATGTGAATGAGCTCATACAACATGTTCTCTCAATTCACATTGGCAGTGACTTATCATAACTCAAAAGGGTTTTCTATATCTCTGGCTCTTCTGTCTGTCCATTGGAAATAGCTTTAATTGAAGCTAGACCCACCCAAAGAAGAAATCATAATCAACCAAAAATGATTAACAGCGACTTTTTGTAATTATCCCTCATTCACGGAGTCTTATTGGCCTAGGATCTTGTTGTTATGATAATGATGTTCATGTGTAGTCATCATACCAAACCATTATTAGAGATCCACACGAAAAGGTTTATCCATATTTGTCTCCCCTTTACAGTATCTGATTGGTTGGTTTATCTTAATTGCTTTCAATCCATAACAATATCATCTATTTTTCATTATTACGTACTGTACAGTGTAATGACTAATATAGCAAAAACAAAAGTATTAGTGTTAACCTGTTTGTATCGTTTTATTACTATAACTTTAATAATCATGTTTGAAATTACATGGCAAGGTAACGTTGAAAATGTCGACATGTAATATATAGATCTTCTAATGATGGCACATCAAAACCATTCTCTTGTTTTTTCTCTTTCTCATTAGAATGAATGCTATAGCACACAGTATGTAAGCACATTATTTTCTTTAGACTATTGTGTATGATAATATTTTTAAATTCTATATTACTTTTGTTATATTTTTATAAGATATTATATGATGTTTTTTTTTAATGAATCTTATATTTTGTTATGAAATTTATATTCAAGTTATGAATTGTAAATATCACAAGTTTAATGATGAAATCAAGCTTAAATAATCTCTCCATCCATTTAAATTGACGTGTTTTTGTTTTTAATTCCTAAACATTTTTTTTCTTGAAAATAACTTCTGAATCTTAAAGTTATTTTGCTTTCAGTTCTTATAATGAAAATCTGTAGAAAAATTCAAAAGAAAATTCACATGAAACATGATAGTTTTAAATTTGCAAAGGAAATATACAGATTTTCCTAAAAAAATGGTTTATTATTAAAAACAAAAGCACGTCAATTTTTAATTGGGTAAAAAAAATGATTTAAAAACTAAAAACAAAAATACGTTAACTTGATAAAGAAGCTATTTAAGTTTAAAATCAAATATATGTAATTAAAATCTCTTTCTTCCTCTTACCTTTTTCTTTGATTAAAATTACCCTTCTCCCCAATTGATTAAATTAATTATATTACATTAAAATTACATTAATTATAAATTTATTTAAGTTAAAATATGCAAGACTTATTATTTTCATCTAAATCCATACATTTAGAATAAATTTCGCCCACATATTTTGAAGAAAAGTTAAATTTGGCATAGAATGAATTTCCCCCCTTTAAATAATTGGATCAAATTATTAGAAACTTAAAATTAATTTCCCCCCTCTCCTTCATTACTATCAAACCATACACATTAATAAGAAAAGTTCTACCAAAGTCCCACCCTCTTTTACTTTTGCTTTTTTCTTCATTACTTTTTTCAGATTAGAAAAGAGACAATTAAGCCTTTGAGTCCGTAATTTAGTAATGATTTTATTTTCAAATGGATGCAGAAAGAGGTTTAGGAGAGTGAATGTTTTTCAAATCAAACTTATCTAACTCTTAGTTGTTTGTTTGACTTTTTAAAACTCAAAGTTAAAGTTAAAACTTTAACTAACACGGTTTAGAGCCTAATTTCAACTTTCAATCAAGTAATTGACATTTTTTGATGAATTTCCAATAACGTATGCCGCTGTTCTATAATTTTTTTCGAAGAAATATTACATGCTTATATTGTACTTGAAAGTTGAAGTTGAAATGTATATGAACTTAATTTAGAGCATATAGTTGCTTGAATGGTGGGGAATGGGGATCACAACTATAACTTACTAACTACCACATTTACTTTTATGTTCCCTAAGTAGGTTTCAAAAAGATGTATTGGTATTGGTTACGATCTTCTATTTGTTCCTAATAAAATACTTAGCTTTTTAGGAAATTCATGGCCACTTGAAGTACTCCATAAAAGTTTTTTTTATTATTTTTGATGACCAAATAATTAGAGTTCAACAATAAATCTCCATTAACATTATGTAGAGAAAGGGAGAGAGAGAATAATCAATACTATAAAAAATAAATATAACCTCGGACGCGAAGTTGATTTAAACTTGGTTAAAGAGGTGAGGTAACAAAGAGCGTTATGAAAAGTTACCACTTTACTCATCGGTTTAATAATAGTTGAGGGGTGTTGGCTGAAAATTAGCCAACTGAAAGCATCAAGAGCAAAAGCACCGACCTCGGCAGGAGGTGGGAGAAATAGGCATCAGACCGACAATGTCCTTGGGTGGAGGGAAGTATCCTGACAATATTGGCAGCCAAGGATCGACAGCGACAAATCTGGAAGGGACGCACCCTGAGTTGACGCTACAAAGGGAACTGCATGGTCGATAGGTACTTGTGTTGGTCGACCAAAAAACCAACAAAGGCACCCCAACAGGGGAGTTTTGGTGCCTAGCGGGAAATCAATTTGACAAGAGGAACGTGGGAGAAGTTACAAAAGTTGTGGTCTGATACGTGGCGGCTCCTGAAGCGTCGTGACAATTATTTTATGTGTCTATATAAAGCAAAGCCTAGTTTTGAAGAAGGGGAGTCTTTTGTCAACATTTGAAGAAAAACACTTTGAGTACCACACACTAAAGAGAAAAGAGTTCCCTTTCATTACAAAATGTACGAATGCGTCCAATTGTACTTTTCTTTTCTACACTAAATTGACCAAGTCTTTATGTTATTGAAAGCAACGCTTTTACCTTTTTTCAGCATTTCTTTGTTTTATTAGGAACATCTTTGTCTTTACTTGCCTAGATTTCATCATACACGCTCCCTAAAGCAAACAACCGTCGAGTGCACCATAAAGCCTAAGTAAACAATCCACCGAATACCAGTGTCCAGAGACTAGTTTGGCCGGTCCCGCAAGCAAACCCGCAAAGGGAGGTCAGAGGTTGTCCGCGCAAAAAATACGCGCGAACAAATTGGCACGCCCAGTGGAACCCGTAACTTTGGGTATATGCAGTTACGTAGTGGAAATATGGTAACACTGTGACAAAACAAAGAAACGTTTTCGCAGGAAAATCCAGTTTTATCACCAGGGACGGCTCTGAGCACCGGATCTACGACGATAGTCACTTCGACCGCTTACAACGGACCATTTGTGACTTCGAGTCGACCCGAGGCGAGACCCGTGACGACAGGAGTCAAAGGGAAATACTTGCCCAGTTTCACCATGCCGGCACCCTAACACTTAGGGATGCCGCCAGAGTTTATGTCTACGTTGTGCTATGGTAGGGTAGGCACGGGAGAGAATTCCTCGTCAGCATTCTCGCCATATCGAAACCTAGGGCCCCTGACCCAATAGGGGGTGTAAGTGCTCTTGATTGGCTGCATTTTATGGCAAAACATTAAAGTATGTATGTATGTCATGACTGGTGTTATTACATACATAATATGGATTTTGCAGGGTGAGTTAACTTAGCTAAATGCTAGTTAAGTTGAATGTCATACAGAATGTCATGACTCTAATCGTATGACATCCAACGAGCAGATTAGTTTTTTTGGTAACTAGCAATCAGGAAATTAATTAGAAGCTCAAGCTGGAAATTAGGAAACATTTTAGAAGCCATAAAGCGAATCAAAATGTTCCTGAATTAAATGGCAAGCGTGCAGATGATTGAAGAATAGGGTTTGGTATGTTAAACCTAATTTGTGCACCCAGGCCCAAGAACTGACTGCTGCTATAAATAACATAAGGAGCAATCCTAGAAGGGCAGCTCTTGACAGAAGATTAGAGAGTGCATATTAAGAGTCCTTGTGAGTGAAGAAGGTTGGTCTTCACATGAGTACTATGAGTGAAGAAAGTGTGTTCTTCACGTGTGAATTGAGTCTTAGGAATACTTGTTTACCAAGCAACTGTATGCTACATTGGTTAGGTAGGTTCTAAGTTGTGTCTCACTCAAAGCTGTTAAGCAAGAGTGAGTGATTCTTGATCAAAGCTTTGAAGCAAGATCAAGGTGTGGATGAAGTGTTTCTTCATCTTTATTTTATAATTGTGAATTGTATATCACTGAGGTGATTGAGGGGGAGTGAGTGGGTATACTCAGGTCTAGAGTGTCTCTAGGAAGAAGTGTCATTGGGTAGGTTTTGAGTGAAAAGTGCAAGCTGAGTGGTTGACTATGAATTAATTCTAATGATAGTGAAATTCCCCCCTGGCTTGGTAGCCATTAGATGTAAGTGTTGTTGACACTGAACTGGGTGAACAACTACTGTGTTATCTACTGCTTATCCTTACAGATTATTATTAACTGCAGTAGTCTGTGTTACAGTGGATGTCATAACTTCCACAATAACATCCATCGTGTGCTTGCCAGAATTTTCAATTGGCATCAGAGCAGGCACCCTGCCTGTTTAAATCTGGGTGAGATCTAGGGAAGAAAAATTCTGGTACTATGGATAGAGACATAGGATTTACAAATATACCACCAATTCTGGATGGGTCAAATTATG